CAGGACGCATCCTGCCAGTATCCTCAATAAGATAAGTTTATAAAATATATAGATTAATAGTTATGGGTGATACTTAAGACAGAGCTAGCAAATAAGAAATCTTAGTCATTGGCCAGCATCATTGTACCTAATATAAGACTCCGTGTGTTATTTTGGGCGCCCACGTGGCAGCAGGACACAGGCAGCTTGGCAGAAAGACATTCTTACACTGGGGGAGGGAGAAGGTTCAATATGTTGTTTTAGTCTGTAGTTTTGTTTCTTTGTGAACTTTTGTAGCAGTATATTTGGTGCATAAATATTTGGAATTGTAAAATCCTCTTTGTGGATTTTCCCTTTGATGAGTATTGTTTAGTGTCCTTGCCTCTCTCTTCTGATTAGTCTTGGTTGGAAATATTTTTGTTGTGAAAGGGACTACACCTGCTTGCTTTGAGGATCCATTTATGCAGAATATGCTTTTGTATTCATATTTCACAACACCTGCTTGCTTTGAGGATCCATTTATGCAGAATATGCTTTTGTATTCTTTTACCCTGAAGGGATATCTATCTTTGATGGTTAAGTTTGTTTCTTGGATGTATAAGATGGATCCTATTTGCTAATCCATTTGTTAATTTGTATGTTTTTATTGGTAAATTGAAGCCATTGATATTGAGAGTTATTAATAAGGAGTATTTTTTATTTCCTGTTATTTGTTGTTAAGTCTTTGAACCCCTACACACATACACACACACACACACACACACACACACACACACAAACAGTTCTGTGATGATTTATTACTTGTGTCTTCTTGGGTACAGTTAACCTCTTCAGATTGAAATTTTCTTTCTAGTTACTCTGTAGAGCTGATTTGGTAGACAGATATTGCTTAAATTTAGTTTTTTATGGAATATTTTTGTTTCTTAAGTGATTATTATTGATAGTTTCATTGAGTTCTGCAGTCTGGACTAACATCTGTGGGGTTTTTTTATAGACTATCATCAGTCCAGTTTCTGGCCTGCAAAGTTTCCCTTGAAAACTTAGGTGTTATTCTAACATGCCTTCCTTTCTATGTGACTTGGTCCTTTTTCCCTTTCAGCTTTTAATATCCTTACTTTGTGCTGAATATTTGATGCTTTGATTTTTATATGTAATGGGGAATTTCTTTTCTGGTCCTATTCTATTTGGTGTTCTGTGTGCTTTGTGTTTCTTGATAGGCACCTTGATCTTCTTTAGATTGGGGAAATTTTCATGTATGATTTTTGTTTAAAATATTTCCTGTTCCTTTGATCTTTATTTCTTTTTCCTTTATGCACTCATATCCTATTCATAGGGTTTTTCCTTTCATGTATTCCAAGATTTCTTGGATGCTTAGTGCCTGCGTTTTTTTTTTTTTTTTTAAGATTTTACATTGTCTTTGACTGTTTTGAGTTTGTGAACCATTTAGAAATTCTTTTGAAATAATTATAAACTTAATCTAGACATTCATGTTCACATCATCTTATTCTGTCAACCTGTTGTTCTCTGCAATGTGTTTACTTTCTCAACTGTGAGTATTTGCTTAATGATTATTTTCCAAAACCTCATTTTTGAGATCTGGAGGAAGTCTATGAAAAATTAAAAGTAATGGGTGAAATACCAACCTATTCACTGGACTTCTACCTTTATGTCTCAGTAGTTGTTTCTGTCAACAAACCTAATAATGTCCATTTGTGCGGCACTCGGCATGACTCCAAAGCTTAAACTAACTGGGGGATCAAAGTAATGAAGAAAGGACAGATTTACATATATAGGGACAAAAAAATAGTAAGATAAGGTGGGGTGGGTATTCAGATGGAGAAGCCACAGCAACCTGGAAACTCTGGTTTTTTTTATTATATACAGGTGAACAGGGAAGTGGGATTATTACATACAGCCAAAAAAGGAGGCATAGTTATTGCATACACACTGACAAGCAGAGATTATTACATACAGCAAAACAAGGAAGTTAGTTTCACTAATATCCATAGTCAGAGGCTCCATAGAGTACAACCTTCAGGCCATAAACATTTGGAGGACAAAGTTATAGTGGACATTGCATGCACAAACTGTCAATAATCACACTCGGGCCACAGGAAGGTTTTGTCATCCCCCTGAGCCTCACCCAAGGAAGGCTTCACCATTCCCATGTGACTGAAGCACTGGAATACTTGGCATGTCTATGTCCATGTCAAGAACACACATCACTTCAGTCATCCTTCACTCCTTAGCCATATGAATGTTTTCTGTTACTGTATTTAGGAGAATGTACTTTTCATTCTGAAAAGAAGTGATAATAGTTACAAATGATGGAAACATAATCTCAAATTACTAGTTCCCTGAAGTAATAGATATAGTGAAAGTATACCATCGGATGTGGACATGATAGTTCATGCCTGTTATCCTAGCACTGGGAAGATTATGGCAAGAGCATTGTCACTGCAGTGCCAGCCTGCCCTTGCTGGTGAGAGGAAGTTGTTTCAGGACCAAACTGACTATTTCAACCAAAGAGATACGTTGTCCATATCAGGTGAATATTTTTAGAAAATACTGGTGAGGAGAAAAAAAGAAGGAAAATATTACTTATTTTCACTAACATAATTCACTTGTTATTAGTGCTTTGTGAAGCATGAGGGTCATCAGCATGAAGAAAACTTGGGTTCCTCTATATTTTAGACATATTGCCTATTCACCAGATTCACCAGAGAGCTGAAGAAAAAGTTGTCAGTGGGCAAGATTTACTGTCAGTCACATTAGAATTTTACAGAGGGTCATAGACATACCTTGTAGAGAACTCTTCCGCTCTTTGCCACTAAGAAATGTAATACTTACATTTGAACTATACTAATTCAAGGTCTCCATGAAGAATTTGTAATAAACATTCTACTTGTCTTAATTGGTATTAAACAATGGTTTACATATGCTCAGGCTAAAGTTATTGTCATACATAAAACTGTTGTGAACATACATCATCCATGGATTAAAATTCTTGTTCAAAAAACTGGGGACCTTTATAAAGCAAGCATAAGCTACAAATGATTTTGAATCTCTAAATGTTTAATTACTATTATAATGAAAGACAGAAATTTTATTTTGTAATTTCTTGCTATGATAGTGTTTTGATTACATCACTGAAAAATGTAAATTAAAATGTTTCTGAAGTTATAGGATACAAATGAGTAGAATCTTGAAAGTTGCTTAGATGCACTCATATAGCTGTATAAAGCTAGAAAGCATGTTTTTCTCTACAAATTCCTGTATCTTATAATTAGATGTGCAGAAATATTTTAAGAAAGCATACTTTTTCACAAGAGATATGCTAAGACTACAAATTTATATTTCAAGTTTAAGCCATATTTAATGGATTTTTAGGCATACAGAACACTGCATTTGCAATCAGACTATGGTTTTTAAGATAAACTGTTAGTATCATAAAAATTGAATCTGAATAGCCAACAACCAACCATGTCTTAATATTTTTAAATTAATCTCAGTAGTTTAATATACATATACAGATAAACAGGGATCTACAATAATAACTAAAAGCAACAATGGTATTGTTTTCAAATCATTTCTGTGTGGATTGAGACTTTGTAGTCCCTTAAACCACCTGTTAAAGGAATGGCCCTGTATCATGGAAGTCTTCTCCAAAATTGCACTGTTGGATGACAACGATAACATTTTTTTAGGTAAAGGACATATTTTCTGGATAAATCCATTTGTCAATTAGAGTCATTTTCTTTTTTTAAAACGACTTTTTCTGCCAAGCTTTCTTAAGATGGTGTGAAATACTGATTGGGGTGTTTATGTGATAAGAATAGAGTTTTCGTTTCCTCATAAGCAAGAAGTTTTTAATTTAGTGGGGTTTTTTTCTTATCTGGCTCTTATGGCAATTCATATATAATCCAGATTATGTTTTGTAGCAATTAGGAACAAGGAACAAATTTCTAATATATGAAAAATCACAGAGGACACTGGCATTGGTGTGCTTTAAATCATTTATTAATTTTTTTCATGGAACTGAGTAAAGCTGGAAGAGGGAGAGGCAATCCCAATTAGCTGTCCAGTGCCAAACCGTCAGCCCTGAAAAGTCACATACTAGTATATCATATGGGATCAACAGGTTGTATTTAGGAATACATATATGCATGCTGTAACAATTAAGGAAAAACAGAGGCCATGAATTTGAAGACAACCGAGAGAGGTGTATATAGGAGGGTTTGGAGGGAGGAAAGAAAAGGCAGAAATGTTATAATTTTAATTTATTCCAATCTCAAACAAAAAAATGTCCACAGAAACTGGATAGTTAAAAAGTACTGCACAGCCGGGCGTTGGTGGCGCACACCTTTAATCCCAGCACTCGGGAGGCAGAGGCAGGCAGATCTCTGTGAGTTCGAGACCAGCCTGGTCTACAAGAGCGAGACCCAGGACAGGCTCCAAAGCAACAGAGAAACCCTGTCTCAAAAAAAAAAAAAAAAAAAGGGACTGCACAAAGTGCTCTCCCTGTGACATGCATCAAAATCTACGTTAAGGGTTTAGGGTATGGCTCTGAGGTAGAAGCTATTCCACCAAGCCCAACAACTTGAGTTCCTTCTGTAGAGCCCACATGGTGAAAGGAAAGCACTGACTCTTGCCGTATGGCCTCTGAACTCCATAATACATGGATGTCTCAACCCCACCATACCCTACTCCAACCCAACATAAAGTAAACTGTAAATAAAAGTGTAAAAGGGAAGGGGGGGAGGGAGGGAGAGAGAGAGGGAGAGACTAAAATTTGTTTCACAAAAATGTTTGACTTTTCTAAAGAGAAATCTCAGTGTAATTTTAGGGTTTGTTTATTTACTTACTTTATGCTTGCAAATGTGACCCAGCTTCTCCTTACCTTCAATTATTAAATAAATTTGTTCTCTTTAATAAAAAAATCATTAATTTGAATTTTTTCTATTTAAAGAAATGAGATTCATCTAGACCCTTGTTTATATGTTCCTATGCTTCTCTTTTAGGAGAGCCTTGGAGATGTCCACTTCTGCCTCTGTAAGATAGATATTGAAGGCTGTGTGGTTTAGACAATATCTAAAGAAATTAGACACTCAAGGTAAGTACAAACTGTCACCTCATAAATAAAATGGTTACTCAATTACAGTTTAACTTGCCAAATTGTCTTTTTCTCTCCAGCATATTCTTTTATCCAGAGTTCTCTGTGTATGACTATTTACATGCTTTCATGACTGCAGATCCCAGCTGTATTTGAAGTTTTCCAAATGAAATATGATGTGAACAAGTCAGAAGAGGCATGTTAAATTGTACTTGTTAATATTAGGATATTGTGAACATATGACTTAAAAATGGGGCAGTGGCCTTCATCTGGAAGTCTTGTGAAGTGGAACGGGGACTGTAAAATCAAACCTTAATTATTTTTTCAATGAAATCAGAACGAGCAATTTAACAAAAATTATTTTTCAATAGCACCATAAGATTTAGCCTATGAAGAAAGTCTGCCTTTATATGTGAACAAGATAAAACAGTTTTGCAGCCTTTGAGGCAAGACATGCTGTTGCCCCCTCCCTCTTCCCTTATTACACTCTTTTCCAGATTCCTTTAGAGTACAAGTACTTAAACTCTGTTTTCTCTTGAATTTGTAGTTAGCAAGTTAGTCATATACTAGGGGTCTGTGTGTGTGTGAGAGAGAGAGGGAGGGAGGGAAGGAGGGAGGGAGAGAGAGAGAGAGAGAGAGAGAGAGAGAGAGAGAGAGAGAGAGAGAGTGTTGTGTTGTCAGAAATGATATTTTTTGAGAAAATGAGTAATATTGCTTATTTCTGTGGTATTATTGTCTTTTTAGCATGACTACTTGATTTTTTTTTTCTGAATTACACTATGTCTTAATTATTTTTCTGGTGCTCTGATAAAACACCAGGGTCAAGACAACCTTTCAAAGAGGCATTTAATTGGGCCTTTATGGTTTCAGCAGGTTAATGCCATGATGACAGAGCAAAGCCTTGCAGCAGGAGCATCTGACAACTTACATTTGAAAACTCCTAGCAGGAAGTCCAGAGGGTACTGAGTTTGGCAAGAGTCTTTTAGTCATGCAGCATGCCCCAGTGACAAACCTCCTGCACCAGGGCCACACTCCTTAGACCTTTTCCAGGAAGCTTAGCTGGGTGGGGTCTTGTGCTGAAGGCACCCTTCCCGCAATTACTTTTCAAAACAGGCCTCTCCTTTATCTCCTCATGTCTTTCAGAACAAGGTTCCAACATTAAAGTTTCTGGTGTCTTTTTTTTTTCTTCAAATTGTACTATTGTGTTTCTTTTGCCCCACTTGCTCTTTTTTATTGTAGACCAATTTCTGAGTGATTACTAATAATCACACAACAGAGACAATATTAGGGCATTTTGAAGTCCCCTCTGCCAAAGAAATTAATTGATTTTTCACCTCCTCCAACAGCCTACACCCATCCTTCCTGAACAGTTTCACCACCTGGGGATCAAGTATTCAAATATCGGAGTCTATGGGGGCCACCATATAATGATCAGGCAATTATTGCTATGCTTCCTTCATATTTAGTCTATGTCTTGTTGTGTACATTGTATTTCACTCTGCCAGTTGTGGAAAGATTTTAATTTCATTGGACCACATTATCCTATTCCTGCAGTTATACCATGAGCTATTTTCAGAAATCCCTTGTCTATGTCTTTAGCTTAAAATTCTCTCTGTTTTCCTTTAGCACTTTGAGAGTTTTTGGCTATTATATTAGATGTTTTGTTTTAATCATATTTAATCAAAATTTAGGAATCTAGTTTCTTCTTCCTACTTATGGATATCATATTTTCCCAGCACCAATCGAGGAAGTTTTTCTTGAATATAGGCTTTTGACAACTTTGTCAAAATTTAGGTTGTTGTAACTTCATAAGTTTATCTGAGTTGTTTTCTTTTATTCAGTTGGTCTATGTGTATATTCTTGTTGTGCTCTTTTTGTTAATTGCAGTTTTGTAGTGTAATTTGAAACAAAGAAGGGTTTTGCAATTGATGTCTGCAGTTTATGCCTTTTGTCTGGCATTGCTTTAGCAACTTGGGTCTTTTGTGCTTCCATATGAACTTCAAGATTATTTCTTCTGCTTCTTTGAAAATGTGATTCAAATTTGATGAATGTTCCATTAAAGATGCTGAGATACTTTCTGGCTATCCTAGTACCAGGAGAAGTTGACATCCAACCTGTGTCACTCTGAATGCGTTCAGATGAAAAGTAAAAAAACCTTAGACACCTGAGAAATCAGTTAATTTATCATATCAGCAAAATATACATCAAGACTATGGCTCACTATATAGTGAGCCATATATCCAAATATATGGATATATATCCATATATCCAATAATATATCCAAAGTTAGCTTAAGATTGCTCCTATGCCTTTTGGCCACACTCATGTGTAAAATCAATATTTGGATATATTTATTTGACTTATGTGTGTATGTGTATGTATTGTTTTTAGGCATTTACATATATCATATCTCTCTCTCTATATATATATATATATATAGAGAGAGAGAGAGAGAGACTTATAAACTTATTTTTAAAATTTGGCTCAAGCCATCATCTAGCAGGTTCAAATTTTGTGCAGTAACCAATGTTACCATCCTGAACAGAACTTCTGCTTAAAGAAATCTCAGCTTGCCGGGTGTTGGTGGCACACGCCTTTAATCCCAGCACTTGGGAGGCAGAGGCACTCTGTGAGTTCGAGGCCAGCCTGGTCTCCAGAGGGAGTGCCAGGATAGGCTCCAAAAGCTACACAGAGAAACCCTGTCTCAAAAACCAAAAGAAAAAAAGAAAAGAAAAGAAATCTCAGCTTTAGCTTTTTGTTATTTTAAATTGGTTGAGTGGGGTGTGTTTATGTGCATACACATGTGCACACTTGCAGGAGTCGATTCTTTATATCCACCATAAGGGTCCTTGGAAGCAGTCAGTTGGGCTTGGTAGTAGGTCTTTACCAGCTGAGCCTTCTTCCCAGACTCAGCTTTGTTTCTGAATGTGTTCATCCAGAATGTATAAGATAATCTTTTTCAACTAAGTTATTTGATTATTGAAGTTATAGCCATCTATAAAAACATTCACAAAAGAAAGGGGCTGCCCCACCCATTGTCCAACTGTTCCTAGATGACCACTATCTGAATCATATATGAAAGAGACAGACATTTGATGCAGTCTATTTAAAGTGAGCCCCAATTAAGAAAGAACAAAAAAAAATGAGAGTAAGAAAAAGAAAAACTAAACCCTTGCCACATCTATACCTAGGTTAGTTTAAATGAGTAACTGGGAACCTATGTTGGTATTCAGTTGAGACAGGAAACTAACCATCAAAAATGCATATGGTAGTAGATATTGTATTTATACATTTCAGTATTACTTTATACCACTCATGGTAGCATGCAAAATACTTTAATAGGTGAACTAAAGTGTTAAATGGGGAAAGGGCTTTTGTTGATACAGATTCCCTGAAACCCTTCTTTGTACACTTACTTCCTGTGAATGCCTTCTTTCCATAAAAAACTGCAGTGTGTAGTATAAGAGGAAAGTGATTTGATTTTGAAACAAACTAAAATCAAGTCATCTAAATGGATGTTAAATCCTCCAGAATGATCACCCTAGGAGGCTATAAGACTCTTATCTGATACTAAAATTCATCAATATTTTCTATATTCTTTCTAGAAAAAAGAATCTGAGCATGACTGATGTTTTATCTATCTTGCTATTTCACTCATCTCTTTGTATATCTGCTCTGATGTTATCTGCTGCTTTATAAATTCTGTCCTGACCATTCTGTGTCATTTTATTTTACTTTATTTTTGACTAGAATCTTGCTTATGCCCAGGATGCCCAAGCTCCTGTGCTTATGCTTCTTAGCTTCAGCCCCTTTGTAGCTGAAAACTAAAGATTTGCACTGCCACAGCCACCTCTTGATATTCTATTTTAAATTGTAGTCCCTTCTTTACTTTGTGCCCCCCTCATAACATTTAAATTTCTTTATCGTTACATAATCTCCATGTCTATGTCCTACCCACACTAGAAGTCAAATCATACTGAGGCAGTATTTGTGCAGTATGATACATATATCTTCTCAAAAGGTTTACAGATGTGAAAATCACATTTTTTGAAAAAGAAGAAGAAGAAGAAGAAGAAGAAGAAGAAGAAGAAGAAGAAGAAGAAGAAAACTTTAAAGCAAATAAATCAAAGTAAAGTTGTTTTAAACATAAATGTGATGTCATTTCTACAGGAAAAAATGATATATACATGTACTGATATATTGTAAAATTGCTACAAAATACTTAGCACTACATCAGGGTACAGTTTTAAAGCAGTAACTTATGAATCCCTTCTGACATAATTAATTTGCCTTTATGTGCTTTTCTTTTTACCTATTGAAATATTTTAAAACTTTTTATTTAAGTTCGACATTAAGGCTATTTATTCATTTATTTTAAAGTATAATTGTGTGCCATCAGTTTAGCCAGGTGGTTTTGTAAACTGTAATAAATACTAAATCCCTAGTGGAGCTTAATATCTTATTAGGGAAGACAAAGCAATAAATAAGTAAATAGTTACATAATTTTAAAAAACAGAGTGCTGGGAGATTTATCAGTCAATAAAGTGATTACTGTGCAAGCATGAGAGTTCCTGAATTGTGTCCCTAGCCCCCACGTAAAAAGCTAGGCCTGGTGCTTGTAGTCTCAACACTGGGGAGACAGAGCAGGAGGATCCCACATGCTTGCCGGACAGTGAATTTGATCTAACCCGAGAGCTTCTGGTTCCAGTGACAGACCTTGGAACTAGGAGGCACCCTTCAGGCTTCCAACGTAATGGAATAACCAGCAGTACTACCCAACCAGGTATGACACCTATGAATCACAAGGACCAGCATAACTTGATAACATGCTTACCTTGGCTAACCAGAAGCTCTCTGATTGGACTGCCCCACTCAACAACAGGGAAACCTAGCCAACTACCCAGGAAGAGTAAAGTCACTGATCATAAAGGAGAATCTTTAATTTATATGCACATAGAAGTGTACCCCTCACCACCTCAAGGAAATTTCTCCTTGCAACA